TTCACGGGGCAACCCATGAAGTCGGAAGATGGTGTCAATAAAGACACAAGCACAGCCACTTTCCGTGATTGACTCTGGTACAGCCACTAGGTGTACCATTTTGCTGAATCTGTCAACAAATACGAGAATACCCGTATTCCCGCGTGCGTCTTTGGGTAACCCGAAGACGAAATCCATTGAGATGGATTCCCAGCACTCTGCCGGAACTGGTAGAGGCTGTAAAGGTGCACGCAGTGAAGGACTTGACTTCACTCGTTGACAGACTTCGCATGCGCGAACATACTTGCGCACAAACTGATACTGGCGGGTCTAGTGAAAGTCTCGACTCACCGTGAGATGTGTTTTCTCCCGGCCACGATGTCCTCCTATAGAAGCATTGTGATACTCGAACATGATCCGCAAACGCAGATCAGTATCATCTGGAATGACAACACGTGGTGTGTCACCCGAAACGGCTGTATAATACAGTAAAATATTGCGAGTAGTGTATCGATCTGATGCAGATCGATACGCAGGCGACAATCGTTTCAACGATTCTCGAGATGGTTGGGAGAGATGTGTCAACAACTTCACAATTTCACCATCTTGGGCGTATGCCCGCCTCACATCATCATACAACGTCGTAGATGGGACTGAGGACATCATAACCGCAACAGTGGCTGTCTCACTGTTGGTGTCACGACTGGTTCAAAGTCGGGACGACGTGAGAGTGCATCAGCGATGACATTAAGTTGTCCTGGTTTGTACTCGACCGTAAATTTGTATTCTGCAAAGAATGACAACCACCGCGCCGTTCGTTGTGAAAGGTGCGGGCTGTTCACTGCCGTTCGTAACGACGCATGGTCAGTGTAAACAATGAAGGGTCTATCTCCTAATAGATAGACTCTGAACTTCGCGAGTGCACACTTCATGGCAAGGAGTTCCTTGTCATGCACTGGATAGTTCCGCTCAGCTGGTTGCAGCTGACGCGACTGATATCAGACGACGCGTTCAACGCCTTCAAGATCGTACTGCATTAATGCACAGCCGATTGCGAAATCGCTGGCATCACAGACCACATGAAATGGCCTGTCCTGATCGGCTATTTCTAGGACTGGGGATTGTATCAAGCTCTGCTTGATACCATCAAAGGAGCGCTGACATTCAGCGTTCCATAACCACATCTCGTTCTTTTTCAACAAACGAGAGAGGTGTACAGTCATCTCGGCGTAATTGCGTGAATACTTATGCAAATACGCCGCTAGCCCGAGGAATTTTCGAAGACCTTTGACATCAACCGGCACAGTCCAGTCGGTGATCGCCTTGATCTTTTCGGGATCAGGACGTACACCGTTCTTACCAACGATGCACCCAAGAAGTGGTATTTCGCTTGCTGCAAATATACACTTCTTGAGGTTTGCATACAATTGATGCTTTCGCATGATTGTAGAAACCTGTCGGACGTGGTATCTGTGAACCTCAACGTCCGACTTTCCATCCATAGACCGAATATGGATGAATACGTCATCGAAATAACTCGGCGCGAATTCTCGTACTGGTCTCAACAGATGTGATACACATCTGTTGAACGTGGCAGGGGCATTACTAAGCCCTTGTGGCATTACTAGCCATTCCCAGAGCATGCCACTAGGCGTGCTCACTGCGGTATAGGGTATGTCCCGTTCTCGCATAAGGATTTGATAGAAGCCATCCATCAAATCCATGGACGAAAAGATGGTACTCTTTGACATACCATCAATGATGACGTCCTTCCTTGGTATCGGCGTCTGAGCCGGTACCGTTGCAGCATTCAACTTGTTAAATGCATGCACTATCCGCCACCCTCCTGTTGCTTTTCGCACACAGAAGGTCGGAGAGCTATGTGATGAAGTTGATTCCCTCACATGGCCCGCAGCTGAACGATCGGCAAAGAACTTGTCGATCGCAAGTACTTGTTCACGAGGCAGTGGCCACTGCTTCATGAAACAGTACTTCGAGCCTGTTTTAAGCTCGACCTCGTGTCGAATACCTTATCCTTCGGTAACTCGCACGGAACAGTTCCAGGGAATACATCCTTGAATTCAACCAAATCTTCATAGAGAGGATTTGTCTTGAGCGATTCCCACGATTGGGAGTCATATCGCTCAACTCGTGTCTTTTCATCGAGGACGCTCTCATCCATCGATGAACTAATGAGAATTCTCTCGTTCTCAGTAAACATTGTTGCTGACCTTATGTCGGCTACACACTCGTCTTCAGCGACGAGTACGCAGATCTGCTTGACTTTGCCACTACGCAGATCACGCAAGAACCTTTTATGTTCGAGCGTTGTCAACTGAGTGATCTCCGAAGTCAACTTCGGAGGCGCAATCAGATCAAGTGTTTAAGCGCCTACACTTGATCCGTCATTGACTATGACATTCAATGTCTCTGTCATTTCCTGGGGACTTATTCCCTCAGGCCTCAAAGGACTAATTTCTTCGGCTTCCCGGGACTTATTCCCTCGGGTTTCTGGAAACTTATTTCCGCCGTATTTGTAATATCGAGACTTATTCCCTTAACTTCCTCTAGCTGGGGTTGCGCAACCACAGCGAAATCTCTCTCCGAAAGACTCTCCAGTCGATCTAGGATTACCGTTTCGCTTAACCTGAGCGATCGATTGTTTCTCTTCTAGATGTTCCCCGCTAGGGATACATCTTTGTCCCAGTCCACCCGACTTATTCGAGCGGCGGACCTTCGGCGCAGCCTGTGTTTCCTCACAGCCGCCGGAACTTTGCTCCGAAGTGTAACCGTTTGGTACACTAAGGTTTTGTGCAGTCGTACTAACGCCCATACCACAAGTGAGACTATCGCACTCACTCGTAGTACATCCACACGCTTGTGGACGCTCCAAAACGTTCATCAGATGGCCATCTGATGAACAAGCGGAAGGCATCGTTACTGTTCGATGTTGCCAGTTTACTCGTGGTTCGTACCTTCTGAGCCACGGTAATTCCAAGGATGACATCAAATTTGTCATCCAAATCCAATACGATAAAGTCATCGTCACATTGGGTATCTTCTAGCGTATAGTGGATCTTCACTATACGCTTCATGACGGTTACGGATGCGCCTGTCGCAAGACGTACTGTCATCCTCGTAGGAGGTTTGTCACATTAACTAATCTTAAAGTGACCATCTTCTAGCGATTGGCGTTGCACAAAATTGATGGACGCCCCACAATAGACTAGAGCTCGAAGGGACAACTTATTTGTCACTTCGAGTTTCAAGGTAATGAGTGAGGTCTCATTACCTAGAGCAGCAACGCACAACGTTTGTGTGTTGGGAGCAACCTTCATCAAGAGGCCTACAACTTATCTTGATGTTGCTGGACCAGTAGGGTGCCCCGCACCTACTGATCCTGTCCGTTTTTTGACGGTCCATCCCGCTGTTGCGTCTTTGCACCAACAGCGGGCCCGCGTCCCTGCCCCTTTTCATGGGTGTACGGTCACTACGCCCAGTGTTGCGAGACAATGGGCGAAGGGCACTACACTCGTAAGCGTAGTGTCCTGTCTTTTGACATCTGTTGCATTTCTGCAACTTCTTTTAGTCCGTAGAGCGAGCCTTCTCGCTCTCTACATAGCAGAGTTCCATCGGCTCTGGACCTCCGCTGTCATATCGTCTCGGTTGACGATATGATGTCGAGATGGCGCGAGCCTGTCTCAGACTGAAGTCTTCCTGTTCCGCAATGGAAATGGCTTGTTCTAGTGAATCTAGTTCAAGTCGGAACAGGTGAGTCTTGACGGGACCATCCGCAAGACCCTGCATGAACACCGAAACCAACGTGTGTTCATCAACCGGGTTGGAACTTATACAACTCGTGAGATGTCGTATATGTTGTGCGTAAGCGTGCACATCACGCTCACCCTGCTTGAGTTTCAAGAGTTCGGTGCGAGCTCTGAAATCAGCTCTAGGCGGTTCAAACGTTTGTCTGAGACGCGACTTGAAGACTTCTAACGACCCAAACGCATATGGGTCGTGCAACTTTAGCCCCAGTGCCCAAGTCTTGGCACGTCCTGCCAGATCTGACTGGGCAAATGCAACTTGCATACCCCCGTCGTCGATGCGACGCGCCCTTATGGCGTCATCCAATTCGACGAACCATCTCAAGAGGGAGTCCTCTTCGACTCCCCTATACTTGGAGATGTCAATCTTCAAGGTTTCGGGTCGACGCGAGTGCATCGACCCACCAGCAGCAGCCTGCTGCTGTCTTAACAGTTCAAACTGTTGAGCACCCTGTTCTCTCAACAACTCTGCTTGTTGAGAACCTTGTTGGTGAAGAAAGGCTACTTTCTCGCGTTCAGCGTCAAGTTCATTTTGAATGAACTTGGCGATAGTAGCATGTTGTGCATCTCTATTGAGAGCCTCTAGCATGACGCTAACAGCATGGATGCCCATGGTTGAACCCATCCGTTCAACCGCATCCCATTCGACATCGCTCAAATGTGAGTAGCCGGCACGCGTAGCGTGAAAGCTTTGGTCATCTTCACCATCCAACATCTTCATGTTAGATGTGAACGTGGTCCTTGGACGGACTACGAAGTGCTACCAGGTGTAACGGGGCACCCTGGAGCTTGTACTGGTGACAGTACAATCTACTTATTCTGATGACAGAATAAGGCGGTGCCTCGGAACTTCACGTACACTGGTACATGCGGAGGAAGAAGGTAAGGAGAAGCGAGTACTTGGTTAAAGTAGAAAGTAGAACTGTATTTATCATAGTTAATGTCTGTTAATAAACCCCCTGTTTATCCTCATCTGACTAAGTCTGAATACAAATGTGTAAATCAAATATCTGCTCACCACTCATTGCGTGCGTCTGTCGTGCCGCGTCTTCGTTGGTTGATGTAATGGCCTATATCAACCAATTAGGAAGTACTCGTAAGTGCTGCAGAATATTTGTCCTTATGACAATATTCTGAGAATATAACTCTTATAGTTATATTCTACTAACAATTTCTTATAAATTGTTATGTAACGGTTCACCCCGTTGCATCTACAACGTGCTCGTTTATTTGCGGGAACCCGAGCTTCCGAAGCGCGGCGAGAAAGACTACCCGTGACAGCGAGTCATATGCCTTTGAGAAGTCCAGTAGCAGTGCCAGCGCGCACTGAAGATCGGGATCTGCTTTGGCACAGATCTTTGCATCTGCGAGTACGTCGACGATCGTCGACATCTCGCGGCGCGGTATCAATACATGTCTGTCCAGGATGAACAAGCGACGGCAGCAGCGGCCGTAGTCGTGATGCAAACACTCGCGTGAAATGTTGTCGTCATAGGTTCAAAGCGCAATTGGGCGATAGTCGAGCGGGCGCTCCGCGCTCTTCGACTTCTTGATGCACGACACCACCGCCTCTCAATTTTTTTTCGGCAGGACGTTTCCGAGTACGCATACGTTAAACGTCCGCGCCAAAAGCGGTACGAGGCCATTCTAATCGTCGCGATACCCAGCTCGTCCGGGTCCCACGTCTTTCCCTGCTTGCACCTCCTGATAGACTTGCGCACCTCGTCTTCCAGATCTCGACACACAATGCTGTCATGTCCATACAAGGAGCTCGAGATGGCAATGAACCAAGGAAGGCACTGACAATGTCATTACCCGGCGGCGTCTGCTGCATGACTCCACACTATCCTTCACGCATGTCCTTTGCTAGACCCCGCTACATTCGTCGACAGCCGTCTTCCGCATCGCCCTGTAGGTTATACACAGTGTTCTCCACAAATGTTGTCGAGACTCGACGATAGAAGAGCCTCTGTGACCGTGCTGGATGATGCAAATGTGACCGAAAGAAAGCTCGCCTTCTCTTCTGCTGCCACTCAAAGCTGCGCAGCCTACACCGTCTGAACCCATTGCGTATCCGCACCGGTCATCGCGCGTATAGCGTGATCCAGCTCTGTTGTTAGGCTCCATTCTGTCGTAGCACTAGCCCCGCCAGCCTACTCCGTCTCGCCTAAGTCTTCAATATACATTGTGAAATATCCCGGAAGAAAATTTAGCTGAGACGCCATGATCGATTAACATCTGATCAGCAGAAGACCGGACATCCTCACTCTCCTCACTCCTCTTTAATTCGGACTGCACCATGACAACAAAAGCGCCTGTAGGTCATGGAGCGCGATGGGCGACGGCCTTCGGGCTCCAAGGAGACGTTCGAACTGCGCAACGAGAGCGCTACGAGCGACTGAAGCAGCACATGGTATTCCAGATCGACGACGCGATGGGGACCACCGATCTTTCGGCTGCTGCTACAGACGTCGACACCGCTTCAAATAGTTGCAGTCAGTACTTGGATGACGAGACGCTGCTGGAGGACATTCAGAAGGACTTGGACCGGTTGTACCCGTCTGGAAATGAGCGCTTTTTCCAGAACGAGCTGTTCATGAGTGTGCTGCGTCACGTGCTGTTTGTCTGGTGTCGACTGCATCCCGACGTGGCGTATCGTCAAGGGATGCATGACGTGGTGGCTGTAGTGCTTTATGCCCTGGTGCAACCTGATGATGAGACAAGTTCGACCAGGCAGGAGATGAAGGCAGAGCTGCCGGACCATACCGAAGCTGACACGTTCCTGCTCTTTGAAGCCGTGATGCTGTTCGTCAAGCCGTTCTTTGAAGTTGTCAAGACAAATCACGAAACGGTCGGCCGCGGGGGTACAACCTACGGACGGAAACTATTTGCTAGCTTTTCACTGAGGAAGAATGATGGTGGAATGGGTTCGAGCACAGCGCAGGTATCGGCAAATGCAGCTGGAAAGCATGAACGGCCAGTGTTGCACCGATTGTGCCATCACATTCAGTACGAGCTCCTGCAACAGAAAGATCCGCAGTTGTATTACCACTTGAAGAACTTGGATATCGTCCCCGAGACATATTGTTTGCGATGGATTCGCTTGCTTTTTGCTCGAGAGTATGCGCTGGAAGAACTTGTGTACATCTGGGACGCTTTGATCTTGGACAAGAAACGAGCGGCGATTGCGATTAAATTCCCGGTGATTAACATGACCAACAAGTCGGATTCCGATCTATTGCAGCTGCCTCGTCTGGTTGTAGAGAGCGAGGAGACAATGTGGACCGGTTTCCCGCTGCTACGCTATATTTGCGTGGCAAGATTACTACAAATGTCGACGCAACTACGCCAGTCCGATAATACTGACTGTTTGCGTCTCCTTATGCGTGCGTATCAAGATGAAGATGCTGACAGCAGTGACTTGGAGCGACGTAACCGTGCTGCAGCACTCACGCGATTTGCCGAGATATTGCAACACCCGATGGCTGAAGAAACTGCATTTGGCGTCGACGCTGATGCGACGGACGCAACTTTTGCAGCTGGATCCAATGTCGTAAAAGTCGTTCTGTTTCAAGAAGGTTTGTTAGGCCTCGTCCTGACAGCGGCAGGTGCTCCGTATGAGAAGCGTCTGGCAGTGAAAGCTTTCATGAGGGATCCGACCGCGAGCAATGGGGTGGGACAAGCCGAAGCTAGTCGGAAAGTCCGCCCTGGCGACCTCCTCCAGTCGATTAATGGCGTGCCAATTGTAGGAGTGACGGCGGACGAAGTAAAACGCCATCTTCAGCTCATTGATCGTCCATTTTACATCGCCTTCCGTGTTTGCACTGATGCCTTCAGCGAAGGTGTTATCGGCACTATGTCGGAGAATTCTAATGCCACAAGCTCTTCGCCAGTGTCGGGCAGTGCACTGTCCGATGTGGAACAGCCTGCGTTCTTACCTGGTGAACTGTGCTACGCTAACGCCGACGCAAGTATGCAACGTCTCGTGCCGTCTCACAGTGGATCATGTCAATCACACTACATCAGCGGGAAGCTGTTTATCACCAACTACCGCTGCTTATTCACGCGCCTGCTTGGTCATGGGGAAATTGATTGGCAAATTCCTGTGCTTTCGATCGTCTCAGTTGATCGCATTCACTCTGGAGCAAGTTCAATTGCGGCCTCTACTAGCAGTCTTTTAGTGGAAAATGCCCAAGTTGCTCTCGGTTTCACCCCCGATGTGTCATTCAAAGTTGTAATCCGGTGCAAGGATACTCAGGTGGCGCGATTAGCCATCGCAGATCGAGGCGAATATAGCACGCTTGTCAAGTGTCTGAGCTTCCTGGCTTTTCCAAAGAGCTTGTTAGATGCTTTTTGCTTCGCATATTCTCCGACTGTAGCGCCTTCCGAGGAAGCTCCATTTGATATCCGCCAGGAGTATAAGCGTATCGGACTGCTATCAATTCCAGATCATCTACGCTGTATCGACCAGTCTTCAGGATACACACTTTGTAGCACGTACCCGCGGTACATTATCGTGCCTGCTGGCATCGCGGATGTTCGTTTAAAGGCAGCAGCTGCATTCCGATCACACAAGCGGTTGCCGGTGGTAAGCTGGATCCACCGCAGCAACGGGGCCACAATCGTTCGTTCAAGCCAACCTCTTGTGGGCTTGAAATCTGCGCGCAGTGATGAAGATGAGCTTCTTGTTTGTTTGTTGTGCTGCTCGAGCAACAAGCAGGCGCATGGACGGTATATGATCATGGACGCGCGCAGTCAACTGGCTGCTGTAGGCAACAAGGCGCTTGGTAAAGGCACAGAAATCTCGAGCAACTACCCTGGCGCGAAACTTATCTTCATGAACATTGACAACATTCACTCAGTCCGGCAATCTCAAGCCGCACTTGCAACAGTCTTCGAGACAAAGAAAAGTGCCAACGACGACACATCCAGCAGCTTCTACGGACGGATTGACGCTTCCGGTTGGCTACGTCATGTCCGCCTTGTCCTGAAGGCATCGGTTGATCTGGCACAAACAGTGCAAAATGGCACATCCGTGCTGACACACTGTAGCGATGGATGGGACCGCACGGCACAGATGGTAGCATTGGCGGAGTTGATGCTTGATCCCTACTACCGCACGCTCCGTGGCTTACAGGTACTTGTCAAGCAGGAATGGGCAGTCAATTCGAATGAGACACTGGATGAATGTCAACGAACTGATGTGGCTTTGATGCAACTAGGTGCTTGTAGAGAAGGAATGGTGTGCCTTTGGGCATCAGTTTGCCTTGAGGAGCGGCCACGCTCGCAGTGACGTATCCAATGACCAGCGTTCGCCCGTGTTTCTGCTCTGGTTAGACTGTGTGTGGCAATATCTTCGCCAGTATCAAACAGAGTGCGAGTTCAACGAGAGCTTCCTGCTCGCTCTTGCTGACCACGTCTATTCGTGCAAGTTTGGCACGTTCATGTTTGACTGCGAACAGCACCGGTACGTCTCAACTCGGCACGCTTTTTGACCTCAGTCCTCCTCATCTGGTCTTGTGCTGTACAGAACGGACTTTTTCGCCAAGCACCGGGCATTTTCAATCTGGAGCGAGATCAACAGCCACAGCGACCGCTTCACGAATCCCATGTACGCGCCGAGCGAACAAGTGACGTTGTTGCCGCCTAGTACACTTTCCAAGAACATCAAGTGCGTCCGGTCATCGATATGCTGCTGCGGCGTCGGACTAACTTGATGTTGCTTGTACGTGCTGGCCTCCATGTGTACTATGACTATGACGCAGACTCTGGAAGGGCTACTTCTGTCGCTGGGACTCGACCCTCATCCCTCCCGTCCCGTCTTTTCAGTCGTACTGACCTTGTCACTGATCCAACTGACGCCTGATGTAGCCATGTCTATTTGCAGCTCGTCGACGTGTCTTGTCAAAATTAATACATCTGTGGTGGGAATACTACGTGGTTCGTACCCGTTGCTGAGACTTTGGTATGATGGCACTGCCCCCACCTGGAATGCTGCTGGCTGCAGTGGTAGTAGCCCCCTGGGTCCTTGTACTCGTTGTTCTTGTCTGGATGTTATTGCGTGGTCTCACCTGCTCAGTTCCTCTTGCTGCTCGCTCTCTGAAAGGGACGAAGCAGCTTCGTGTGGGATTCTTGCATCCGGATTTCGGGATTGGTGGGGCGGAAAACCTCGTTGTGAATGCAGCGGTCGCTCTACAGCGGCGGGGAGCTCGTGTCACCGTATTTACGGCTCACCATGATATCAGCCATTGTTTCGAAGAGACTCGTGGGGACGGACGGTTGGCTGCCCACGTACGCGTCCATGGGGATTGGCTGCCACGCACCATAGGAGGCAAGCTCTACGCGTTCTGTGCGGTGCTGCGTGTGCTGTTTGTGACACTTTGTGTGGCAATGTACTATCGAGACGACCTCGACGTGTTTGTGGTCGACCAAGTATCGATCTCTGTCCCCTTTTTGCGTGCCATGGGCAAGCCCGTGCTTTTCTATGGCCATTTTCCGGACAAGCTCCTGTGTATTCGTTCGAACTCGCTCTGGAAGCGTATCTATCGTCTACCGCTCGACTTGTTGGAGGAAATCACGACAGCTTCGTCGGACATTATCGTGACGAACAGCAAGTTCTCGCGTGGGGTTTTCCAAGACGTTTTCCCACGCCTGCAGACAAAGAAGCTGGGGATTCTTTACCCACCAGTAGATGTCAAAGCTTATAGTGCCACTGCCGAGGATAGCGTGGAACGAGACGCAGGTTTGTTTGTGTCGCTGAACCGTTTTGAGCGGAAAAAGAATGTAGCATTAGCTATCGAGGCATTGGTGGAGCTGCGCAAGATCATTACCAGTGAGAAGTTCCAGCACATCAAGCTGATCGTGGCTGGCGGGTATGATCCGCTAAACACGGAGAACAAGGAGCATCTGATTGAACTTCAAGAAGTGGTGGCTAAGCACGCTTTAGAGGAGCACGTGGAGTTCCGCACATCAGTTTCGAACTCCATGAAGCTTGAGCTGCTGCGCAAGGCTCATGCCATTCTGTATACGCCCGACCGTGAGCACTTTGGCATCGTTCCCGTCGAGGCCATGGCATGTGGTACTCCTGTCATCGCAGTGAGCTCTGGTGGTCCATTAGAGTCCATCGTTGACGGTGAAACCGGGTTCTTATGCGAGCAGAAGCCGCAAGCATTTGCTAAAGCCATGGCAGAGCTGTGCGGGCATAAACACAGCACCAGAGTTGGCGAGATGGGTGCTAACGGTAGACAACGCGCTTCGAAGCTCTTTTCGCTCGAAACTTTCGGCGACACTCTGCTTGAGCTGGTACATCAGGCGGTGTATGGTGAGAAGGTAGCATAAATATGGAAAGCTTCACGCACCGTCGGCACATAAGTGATGATACGTGTTCTGTCTTTTTCCAAAGCTTTTGCTCATGTGAGAGGAAAGTCTGTAAATTTGACGATGCCTCAATCAGCGTTTGCGAAGACGTGTGTACATATTGTCACCAGCCTCCGCACAACAGCCTTTTACAAAAGAGGGCAAACCCAGACACCTCTCGACAGCGTTGCTTGCGTGGTCGCCTGGAGTAACTCGAGGACGATGCAAGAGACGACTGACTGTCGACTTCGCGGCACTGCGTCACGTACTTTTGCAGCATGGGTGCATTCTCGTAATAGTGTCGTGAGTCGAAGTGTGCGGGCCTTACGCGATCACGGCTCATCAGCTCCTGAACGGGCAACGTGCCGGAGTCAGCGTGACGCGACTTTGGATTCACTGCTGGAAGCTTGAGATAGCGACATATTGAGTTGCAGCGATGCGATGAGAGGAACTTCTGGAAACCCAAAATTCCGAGGTTACCCTTTCCAAAGTCGTGCCCATTCAGCGTATGGATTTGTGGATCCGTGTACAAATCGCCTACGCCTTGAATATCCACAGCGAGCAATTCATGATTCGAGGCTTCATACGTGAAGTGAGAAAATGCCTGGGGTGTGTTGCGCTCGTCATCACTCACGGATCCAAAATTGTTATTGTGTTTGCGGTACTCGCCAGGGATGTAGGCCTCTACCGCACACAATGCACCATTTCGCTCGGGTAGTTCTAACACCCACGCTGGAATGAACTCGACACGTTTTGGCGGTGTATACGAGTTGTACACTTGAGCATAGTGTGCACAATGAGCCTGCAGTTCGATGTCCCTAAAGTAGGTCTGCGGATCTTCATCCGGATCGATGGCCAGTTTAGCCACATAGCTGTTGGTGTACCGGCTACTAGTGAGCAAGCTACCGGGGCTCTTCATGCTCAGATCTTGCAAGTGGTACACAATCCGCAGACTTCCCTTGCAAAAGGGTGTTTCGTCCAGATGAATAAGCACTTGCGTGCTGCTCCACTGGCGCGTGGCATATTCAAACACGTGCTTCACAGCCACCTCGGGGCTGACATCACGAAAATCAGGAGCATGTGGCACGATCAGTGGCAACCCTGTGCGAAATGCAAGCAACAACAACAAGAACGGTCAAGCCTAGTGTTTTGTTACTCCCGTTCCTCATCTCACAACCCAAGCAGGTAGTAGCTCCCGAGCGGCAGCTAGCTACAAAAGGTTCGGCGTGCGTACCTTCCATTCGTCGAAACGACATTCGTCTTCTGTGCGTGACCGTGTGCTGGAACCCAGACGCTGGCGCGAGCGTCGAGAATGTGAGTTCATCGACAATCGCTCCTTTTCGTCTACACAATCAATCAATCCAAGCCACTCACACCACTCTCGTCAACCACACTCCCTTATCACAGCATCAAATCAAACAAGGAATGGACTTGCTTAACAAACTGAACGAAACCGCCACTGACCGCTCGTACTCGTCCTCGGTAATGTACCCCTCGCTCCAGAGCGCTCGGAGCGTCGACAGTCGAGACAAAATATTGTCCCGCACATTGCCCGCGATCGCCCGCGTCGGCATCGGCTCTGACGATTTTACGCTCCACACATAACTGTCGCTCTCGTCTGGTGCATTGTTCTGCTCGCTTGGCTCTTGATCGAACAAATTGGCTCGGCGCTTTTCCGTCGGCGTGGCCGCTGAGACCGTGTAGTAGAACCAGCTGCTGCGGTCTTTGACGCGCACTCCGCCCGTCTGCTGCTCGCCACAGGACGCACAACGTGGGGGTGGGGGTGGGGCTGCCGTCGTCATGTCGCGAGTGGCGAGGGCTTGGGACAAGCGCGACGTCAGAAGGTCTTGAGACTTGACTGACACTTCAATGATAAGAGCTGGGTGATAGAAGAGCGTTGATATGACGCACGGTATGACCGGATTGGGCGAGCGATAAGACGTGTGTCAGTAGGGATGGGGTGTAGCTCCTATGCCGAGTGCATCTTTTTGTGAGAGGCTCAGAATGTCTATCATAGCGACTTATCACCAATGAGATGTCTAAATGTGTGGCATAGCTACTTATCACTAATTAGATGATACGAGGTGGCTAGCTATCTCCTTCTGCTGGCTCAATACGTCGGGTGTTACGGCGGGGCACTCGCAAAAGGGCCCGTGGAAACCGTCCGTGGATCAAGTCCAGGGTCAGATTTTTGTGTGTACTTTGCCGGATGGCGGGGCTGCTCTTGCGCTCGGAACAATTTGATCAGGGAACCGAGGACGCGTGACTAGGAGTCCTGTTACCACTGCGGTAGTCTCAGCGAGCCATCTTGACGTAGTTTCTGGCCATCACCTCGTGGTCGACTTCTTGCTCTTCAGGTCGGCTCGGGCTCACAACGTGCTCAAATGTGCCCAGACGCACCACTGGGCGAAGAGTATCTGGCTCGGTGCTACTGTACGTAAACAAGTGGTACTGGATCTCAACGGAAGTCGTCACGGTCTTGGAAGAGTTCTCTTCGTGGGACCGGACTCATGCTTAGCGAACTTGTCGGCGAGTTGTAGGCAGACCGCGAAGAGTAGGAACTTCTTCGTTTTGCAGGGTGATTCGTACATCGTCGACGTGCCCTGCACTAGGATATCCTGCGGACAGCCTCTCTCCTCGAGCCGCACCCAGCGAGGAGAAACGCTCCTTTTTTTTGCCTTGGCCCCACTATGGGGGACTTCCCGCCCAGGCAAGGGGACCAGTTTCCTGGCTCCCCGGAGGGTCTCGCCTCTGTCCGTTGTTGCAGCTGGCTGCCGATTGGGAAGTGACGAGTGCATCTGTGGGCCGAGCGAGATACGGCGATATTCCGATTTCACCAACTTGTCCGACATCGACCGTCTCTGCATACTGGAAAATTGGTCTTTGTCAGCCAGAGGCCATTGATATGCACGAACACCGATGTTCAGCATGAGCAATACGTGGGCTCGGCTTCACGCTTGTCTTACAGTTATGACTTCAAGATCAAACAGGGCACCCGGCTTACACGAGATTCAGTCAGGACAAGCTGCAACAACTGGCGCTTACATCCAGGCTGAAGGTCGTGTCACCTTTGATAAAAAGATACCGCATGCAACGTGCGGATGTTGACGGTCACGACTCACGACGGCTCCCGGGACTGGCTAAGAGGATAGGTCCTATCGCTTGAAGCAAAAAGGTATGCAGTGATTTGCCTTTGCTTGAAGGCCTGCAAGGGTGACATGCTGCCGCTCGAGGTTGATGCAATTTGGCTCGTCGACGCTCGAGAGCATCGTCAAAGTTTTAAGGTTAGGGACTTCGTGCAACGGCCGTAGAAGGAGTATCTGATCTCATCTGGTGTGCCTCCAAGTTGTACCGCCCATGTGTTACGAAGCTCGAAAATTGGAGCAAGGTTCTGCGCAGTATTCTTACGTTACCGCAGATGGATTATCGGCAAATTGTTGGACTCTCGTTTCGACACGGGGTACAGTCTGGGGTGTGTTATGCAACGAAACAGTGGTGTCGCGGGACGATTGCAGAGAAAGTGGCAATACACGACCTGGTAGATGAGGATGAGTCGGGGATCGCACAATCTGCATCATATTGGAGTGCTGCATTTCGATTGTCAAGGCCGACGACATCGTAAAGCGGTCCAAATCTCAAATCATGACTGGCTGAGTTTCAACGCCGGCCGTTGTAGGACCGCAGTCGTTCGCTAACATCGATCAATAAGTGACATTCGAAATCAAACTCTAATGTATCGGAGCTTGAACTTCAGCATGCTCGGCGGTAAAGAAAGCACTGGCGTGCGGTCTGAATATGCACGAACGCCGACGAAAGCGTCACATCAACGATGCCTTCAGGCTACCGTGGCAATTTTGAGAATCACAGCTGACTACAAGCTCTATTGTACCAACCAAAATAGTGATGTTGCTCGCAAATGCTTTCACATCACCGTGTTTCAAGCACCACCTAGTGTCCTCATTTAACCAGGTTCGAGCTTAACAACGTAGCTCTTTAGCGAAACAATGAATCTTCGAGTTTGCGGATGAGCTTAAGCGGAGACAGCAGTCTCATACACTTGCAGCAGCGCATCATCACCACCCGACACCAATCGCGATCCCGATGAGTTGTACGCAACGCTCCACACCTGGCAAACCACAGTGTTGTTATATAGTTCGCCTCACGAATAGTACGCGACACAAAAGTGATATTTACGCCGTACCTGATCTGTGTGCGTCTCGAAAGTCGTCAAGCAGCGCCTCGTGCCAATATCCCAAATCTTTACACGACGGTCTGCGCCACTGTTAGCAAGACGGGCAACCAGAAAGCTATTAGTGATGTCCAACAGCGCACCTAGTCGTAACCAGCAACGTACCCTGTAGCAAACTGCTTTCCATCAGGCGAGCACGCCACACTCAGCACCCATGATACATGGCCAGATAGAGTTGCAACGGCGTTGTCATGTGCACTGAACAATGGTAAGTGCAACTCGTTCGGTTAAAATCCCAACTCATTGAAGGCCCACACAAAAGCTCCATCACGTACACATCGTAGACGTTAACATGCATGTCATCGGAAGCGACAAACAACTTTCCATCCGGCGAGTACGCGACCGAGCGCACCGGCTTCGTACGGTCTATGAGTATCAATGCGTCAGCATTCCATGGTTTAGTAATGTGTCTCGTGTACTACATACCTTCGTACTTGTAAACCAGTGATCCCGTCTCAACATTGTACACGCCAACAAAACCATCAAAGCCTCCGCAGGCAACATGGCTCCCGTCCGGGGACTACAACAACATCATCATCACCCATTTTCAGCATCGTAAAAAGTCACCGCTGATAGCCATGGAGCCAAGACCAGCTCGTACATAAGCAACACTCAGCACAAACTTGGCTTGGGTTGATATTTCCTGTGCAATCTTCCCCGTCTCGATGTCAAAAAAGTTGATTTTGCCCTGCTGACTGCCTGATACGAGCTTGGTCTCGTCCGGACTGTAGGCGACCTGCCAGAGCTCTCCTGGTCCAGCATCAATCGTCTTTTCAACGGCCCCGGACGAGAGATTAAGCACGCGAATCTGGCAGTCCAGAGAGCTCGTCACGGCGTGTGTGCCCGCCCTATTGCCCACAATGGAGATCGTGCCCAGCACGTGGCCTGGATACTGCTGCGAGATGGACACGCCATGCTCGGTCACGTCCCTAACGTAACAAGGAGATTGAGCAGCAGCACCAAAAGTATCAGTGTCATCATCTCTTCACTAAGTATACACCGAAAACGCAAGCCGACGCACCAGGCTTTAGCGACTTCGTCGACCGACCCCGTCAGGATCTTGTCGTTGGACGTCCAGAACGTGGTCCAGATGCCATCGCTGTGGGCGTTCGGGAACTGGACTGACGCACGATACTGAGCACAAGCAACAATGAGACCGACAAGCGCGTAAGCAACAGGTAGACAATAGAGCGAGCGAGCGATACGTACGTTAGCTCGTGCAGCCATTTATTTTGACGCTACCGTTACAATCCCAACACTGGAGTGCTTTTTATACAAGAGCGAGTGTGTAAACTTAGCGAAAAACACATGAAGACCTTTTCAGATAGACGATGTTTCGGCGATCGCTGTCGGTGCTGGGCGCTTATAGCTGGAAGGACGTGCCGTACGTGACGGAGTGTCCGCACCAATTGCAGGCACTCGATCTCTCAATTCCTCAGAGAGCTCCTCTGCATGCCAAGCTGCCTACTTGCGTGTTTGTCCATGGCGGAGCGTGGCAACGGGGCGACAAAAGCGCTGGACTGAACAAAGATATCGACGCAGCTTTCGTGCGTGCTGGATGCTTGGGCGTCACGGTCAATTACCGGTTGGCACCAGAAGTGCGTCACCCCACGCACGTCGAAGATGTCGCTGCTGCAGTCACGTGGCTGCATCGGAACGTTGCGAAGGTGGAACTTGTCAACTCAAGTGGGTTTGGACGAGAGCTCACGATGTTTGCATGTCATTGACAGTTTGGCGGTGATCCAAACAACTTGGTGCTCGTGGGGCACAGCGCGGGTGCGCATCTAGTCATGCTGATTCTAGCGGACCCACAGTATCTGAAAGCGGCTGGACTGGATCAGCCAGTAGACGCATTTGTCAAAGGAGCCGTGGGCATCTCTGGTGTCTACAACATCGTGCGACTCGCTAACGCTCCATTCTTTGGATCGCTCGTCGCACAGCCTCCGTTTGGTGACCGTGTCGAGCACTGGCGACAGGCTTCCATTGGGGCGACCGTCACGCGGATCGGGGCGACGTCACCACTTCTCAAAATGCCGTTGCTGCTCGTGAATGCACAGGACGATTTCCACTTTCGTGACGATGCACAGGAGCTCGCGCGGTGGCTGATTGCAGCAGGAAATGTACGCATGCCGGTTTCCTCTCACTTTGTCTAGTTGACTGACTACTTGCAATTTGCACAGCCCCATGTCCAACGCCACGTGGTGACCAATTGTAACCATTTTAGCATCATCCAGCATCTCGCGCACGACAAGCCCGACAACAACACGACCATGAGCTTGATCCAGACATTTCTAGCGAGCATTTCGACCACACCCGCCCCTCGTGCCTAACCTCGCTCAATCTAAGTATCTCGATTCTTCACAACTACTCAACATCAATAATGTCCACAAAAAACGCCACCACATTTTCCCACTCACGTCTCTTCGTATTACACCATTTTCCATCTCTCTGTCCCCATCCAGCCTCTAGCTCCTCACACCTGCTTCCGCTCCGTAAACGCGCGCATCACGCAGCCCGAGCCAGCCTTGGCCACGAGCTTCTGGTGCCACTCAAGCATCGTCGCACTCTGCGACGCGATGCCCAGAAACCGCATGAGAAACTTCATCAGATTGTCCTCCAGAGCCACGCTAAGCGAGTCGATCGTGCGCTGCATCTCGCCCTTGTTACACGCCACCAGAGCAGCCATCACGACCTTGGCGTTCTCGTCCTTCACAGCGTTGTTCTTCGACTGCAGAGGCGGATCTTCCAGTGCTGCACGCACGGCCTCCTCGTGCTTCCGCTGAGCCAGTAGCCCCTGCACTTGCGCAGCTCGAGCCTGCACACTCGCAGCAATCTGAGCCTCGTCTGACGCCATCTCTTCGAGTCGGTACGTTTAAAAGTGTCGTCTTGTCAGCAGACGATCGAAAGGGCGTGTAAACCGATATCGGGTTTGACAGGGAAGTAGGAGGTTTTGCAAAAAGACCACGATTTACGGAACGGAAGATTGAATTCGAATGCAGCTTCATTAATGATCCGAACGGCCACGATCAGCTGTTAATGCATAGAGATAGCCACCGTGATATCCCCGCTTGACTGCAGAACTCCGTTCCTTCTTCTGCATCGAGGAACACAAGCCCGCAAAGCCTTGTATTCGTGCAGCTACATGACAGCGCAAAAGAGAGGAATTGGCACAAAGCCGAACGAGTGGTCGCTGCTGGCAAAAACGCAGACAAGATCGCACAAACGTCACACAAAAAGCGATACGCGGCTTCTACTCGATGTCACGAGCAAGAAGCTGCTATTGCACATCAGCAGTTACGTACACAACAACCGCAGGGCGACGGTGCTCCAGTATAATCTGGTTCTGAGCACCGCATGCCGTGCAATAGAACGCCGAGTTGTGCGCCACATTTCGCACAACGTGTGTCATCCCACAGTTGCCACACTTGTACGGCATCTCAGTCTGCTGGACAGGCTGCGCAACGGCCATCACGTGGCCCTGGCCGTACTGAAGCTGACGAGCCAACTCCTCGTCCTTGGACGTATCGTTCTGCAGCTTCAACATCACGTCAGACTCGTAGCGTCTACTCGTAATAAACCATAATCAGACGTAAACACGTGCCTGGACGCTCATAGGGACCTCTCGAGCCTTCGAAATCTGTGGGTACAACGGACGTTTGTCACGTGGGGTCGTCATCCTGTTCTGCCGTTTATTTCCAGAATTTTCAGAAATGTAATGTGATGTGATTGCCAGAAAGTGTACCCATTACTGCAAACGGGTCCCAGCCAATCAGCTTGCAGAATCCAATGTTCCTTGATCTGCTGGACCAAGGCGTCGTGGTCGCCCTAGTCACGGCTGGACTAGGGGTGTTGTATCTATGGCGCAAACATGTCGCACATGTCGGGGCCACGAAAGTCACGCGAGGGTTTAGCTTGGTGCGTGTGCTCAAGCGCACGGACACAGAGCTAGCGCTTCTGGGCAATTTCAAAAGCGATAATCACAAGAAGGCAGCGGTACTGATCATTCAGTCAGCGGCTATGGATACGGGGACGCTAGACCAATTGATGAGCGGAATGTCGCTCCATGAAGTCCTAGTAAATGATATCTACAGCTCATTTCTTGGAGACGTGTCGCGAGAAGTCAAACCGTACAAGGTGCGTATCCTCCGAACAGTTTTGTCGGAAGACGACGTCGTAAATTGTCATTTATTGGGCACGAAATCGTCTTTGTAGGTGAATTTGATCTATCCGGCAACGGAACGCCATGTGCGCAAACATATGGACCAGAGCTTTCACATGGTCGTGGAGACTAAAGAGGCGTATCGGATGATTACGAAGCCGTTTATCAAAAGCATTCCCGCAGAAAATATTGAGTGGGTTTACAATATCCTTGAGCAGTAAGTGAGCAGGTTGTTACTTGGTTGGAAGAATGGTTTGTGGTGTCGAACACTTGTACTGAATGGTTCATTCCTGATGATTCCAGCAAGAGCGAGACGGAACGTATAATCTACGAAGACACACACCCTTACAATGGGTTTGTGTTGTTGCCTGACTTTAAGTGGTCGGACCAGTCCAAGGTACACGCGCACTGCTCGGAGTTACTGCCCTGAACCGCTAGACATATCACTGACTATCTTGCTCTCAGTTGGAGTCTCTATACTGTTTGGCGATCGTGCATGATCGGTCGCTGCGATCCCTTCGTGATCTCACGGGTGCCCACTTGAAGCTGCTGCGAAACATTCGGTAACAATTCATCGATTTTTTTTGTACGATCATCAGTAGCTGTTGCTCACATGCGATCTTGTGTGTATGCAGAAATGCCTGTCTAAACATTCTACGCGAAAAATACGGCGTGAACGCGAGCTCAATTCGCGCATATTTGCACTATCAGCCTACGTACTATCACTTGCATGTGCATTTCTCACACGTCAAGATCCTTCAAGGTCCACATTCTATGTTCTTCTCGATTTATTTTTCGTCAAGATTATCTGACTCGAGTGTTTCTGCTCAGGAACGTCCTCGGGAAAAGCTGTGCTTCTTGAGGATGTTATTAACAACTTGAGTGGTCATAGCGATCATTATACGAACGCGACACTTTCGTTCGTAGTCGGTGAGATGCAGCACAAGCAGCTATTTGAGCTCTTTCGTGAGAAGCGCATTATTTGAGAATGCTACTGGTTGCAAAAACTCTCGCTAACAAATTCTCGGCTACACGAAACCGCTGCAGCTAATCGACTTTCAGTGAGCTGGCCAACCAGAAAGTTCCGCACAAGCTAAGCTGGCGCATGCTAGCAAACGACAGTCATTCCGCTGCCGTGTTTATCGTACCAGTCCGTCACTTTTATCGCTAGCAAAACGTGCTTCCAGAACACAGGAGCAGGTGATAGGTATCGTTGCTGCAACGGTGTTTGTCTACCTCACCCAAGCAACAAATGTACGGCAAAGTGACGAGACACAAAACATAGTTTTCAGCTTGGCAAACCAGTCATACTACACTCTGCGTGGCTCTTCAGTCACATACACACACACCTCCGGAGCCACGCGTATTTTTCACTGGCTCGCGAAGCATTCTCTGCTACAAAGGCGCTTCGGTAAATATAATACGCTCTAGCGGGTTCGGCGCGGCATATTTTTGTCGCTTAGCAACTCCATTTTATCGCAAAGCATCTGGTAAATAGAACGTAAAATCCGAGACAGAGTGATAACCTCTGGATCTCGTTAGTACGTAGGGCTGCAACGCCCCAAGATTGTCTGTGCTGCAATTCGTAGCCACTTCTGATCGATCCATCTTTGGTACAACTTCATTGATCGCCAGTTAGAGCTTCTGCTTATGATCCGCAGCGCATATTACATAATACGAACTTGCTTCAGTAGGACTTTGCCCGTTCTTGGGGACGGGCTTGACAGCAGATGCAAAGAGACCAGCTGGCAGTACTGCACAAAAAGCAGCGACTTGCCTTTTCGGTGTGTTACGAGCGTCTGTCGGACACAGATGTCAACCAATGTAGCAGCAGGTTCACATCAAAGACATCATCACTAGACAGTTTACAAATGCCTGAAAATAAAATCCTCAAACCAAATGAATCAGAGAAATCAAACGTGGAAGAAGTAAAGCTGCATCGGACCATGACAACAACGATATGCAAAGAAAAAGAGTGTAAAAAGGAACGTGATTGAAGAAGTGACAGTTCGTGTGATGCGCAAGGTTTTTGCGCGTGAAAACGTCCATTTTTGGCGACCCAGCTATGTGGTGGGCTCAAAAAATCGTAAACGACCAGTTTAAATGTCTGGCGATCCGCATGCATGAGACGTCGAGCGTTTCTCTCAGGTTGTCTTGAATCATGTCGGTGCTGGTGTGGGTAGATATAAGCTTGAAAATAACTCAACTAAAGGGTGCCTTGCGAGCAGCAGGATAAATGCGAATGGTTATGGTAACAACGTGCTTTTGTTCACCACAGATCTTGACTGGGGCTCCGTCCTGCGCGGGATGGAGTGGGATCGGCCTACACGCGTTCCATACCACGCAGGACGGGATATCCCGCGGTACACTGTGGGATAATATTGCCAAACTTCTACCCCGTATACATGTTTCAACGACCAGATCTACAAACATATGAGCACCTCGCCTCCAAATGATGCTGAGGGTACCGAGGACTGAATAATAGTGAAACGGTAAAATTGACCGCAACGTGATCCATGCTTACCTGCTACAATGAGTGTAGAAGCTGGATGTCTGATCCACCGGGTCCTCATCGGCGACACGGATGGCGTACTTATGCAAGCAGAGCCGTCCAAACGTGTTGGCAACGGAATTGCTAAGAATGACCGCACGTATCAACATCAAACCAGTTGAATTTTATTACTTAGCGGCTGCTTGCAGCATGGTCTTGGTGGGAACTTTAGCCATGAAATTGCTCGAAAGTGACTCCAGCGTTTGGTGCAATCGTTAAACCTCTAGACAAAGCTTTAGAGCAGTCGAATAACCAACCTAAAAATGTAACTTTCATCACCAAAGTTATAGTCTCGAGCCCGCAATAGATTAGGGTATCTATCTGTCCGTCGCTGGGGAAAATTGATTCATCTCTACAAGCATCTTCAAGCGACTTGATGCATGTCTTGACAGAAAGGTTGGGGTAATTTTGACTAAATTAATACACTGAATACAAATGAATCGAAAACGCTCTCGTTTCATGTTCTCTTGATCCGAAGAGAATTGTAGGATTAGAGAAGTAATAATGTATCAAAATGATCCATGGTATGCGAATTCTCGAACGGGGACGTGCGGGACGCGCGAGATCGTAACGGCTCATCCCACTTCCCATCTCGCAAAGGACACGTTGCGGGATCCGCGGGATGGGACGCTGCGGGACAGAGTCCTCATCTTGACACCATTGCTACCTCCGACATTATTCCATTTCTGCTATCCATTGCATCCCTCATCAACAAACACACGCTCCTCGTTAGGGAGTTACCGATATATAGCGGGTTGTCTTCTTAGCACACATACATGAAAAGAGAAACACTTGTGAGCCATGTTTTGGTCGGCTGACCGCACTTCTCCCGTCCTTCCTGTCCGCGTTCTTCTCATACTCCTACTTGATCGTGATTTCATCTGAATGGGATTTGTCGCGCAACGACTCTTGTCCTACCTCTAACACTAGGCATGTTCGTGGTAGATGGCTGTACGATTCGGTATGTACGGTGCAGACTCCTTCAATACAACTAAGGGTTGCCCAACAATGCTCGCTGTCGTAACTATTGTCGTCAAATTTGATGTTGTTGTTGGTCTCTTTTCGCCGTTGTTGCTGAAGTTATCTTGCTCGTCGTTCTGTATACGATTTTGCGATCTTGCGGACGTTACCGTCCTCATCACCATCTGCGTAGCCGTCTGGTCTCCGGCTTGCCATCACGAATATTCCGTCAGGATAACGTCCATTGTTCCTGTACGTGTACATCCAAATCTTTGTCTTCGTCACTGCTCATACGATTGAGAATGTCTGTGTCTTGCTTCGCCTCTCGAGCATATTGCCGCTCAACAGAGTGGCCTCACCAAAAGATGGCACGCTTATCCCAGTAGCATACGCCTATTCAGGATGCCTTTATGATCACCGATGTAAACAAAGAGTCCATTTGAAGTGGTTGCAAAATGATAACAAGCTCAAAAAGGTCCGTATGAGACAGTAGAATGACAAACGTCGGATTGCACTTGGTCACATCTGCTCGGAGTGGTTGTTGTCGGACTTGATTGTAGCTGAAGACCACTTTCCGAACTCGGTGAGCAAATACTGTAGCGGAGATTGGTAGGTTTTGTCGTGACAAGATCGTTCATTTACAGTCAAATACCTGTGACTAACCCGTGCAGGGAACTAAGCACCGACGTCGGAGCTTGTCGTGGTTAATGTTAGATGTACAATAAAAAGACCTCGGAAAAGAGAGAAGCTAGGTTGGCGCGAGACTAATACTAGCTAAAACTAGCCGTGGTGAGCCTATCTTGTAAGCTCTTGCAGTCCTTCACTTTCCTCTGCAGAAATTTGTGGGGAGGCGTCTGTACCTTAACTTCTAGCCGCCACGGTCAGTGACGATTTGTGTTTGGCAGACACGCATAAAATGCCGAAAGGTCCAAACCACTGCTATTCCTGTAGTAGCTGCTACAGTATCTGCTGCCACCCCACCCCATTCCTCGGTATTGTCGTAAAGTCGAGTTCGTCAGAAGTACTGATCGTGTCAAGTGCAATGAAAGGCAGAGGTAATGCCAAGCGATCGCAGCAGCTATCGTGGAGCTTCTTGGTCGTGCTTCCTGCCATTCCTAGCTCCCAGCACTCAGCATGAAAGGGTGCGTTTAATTGAACGCACATTCTAGTCATCGTACCTAGTACGTGGTGTGAACGGCGTGCATGATGTCGTCGTGGATAGACGTGTGCAACAATGTGTTGAAGTCGCCTATCTGAGTGACGTCCCTCCTACTGCGGATTGAGCATTCACATGCTGCACAGATACTGCTAACGTTAGTATCAACATATTATCGACACATATTCGACCGAAAAGAACTAGGTACAGTCGTAGAACTACCGTCGTACAGCTATCCCGCTGACTCGGCACCAGTCATTCTACCGCATCGTAGCTCTTATCGTATCACAGGTTTACCTGGTGATACTGACATCTGACCATTTTTAGCTTGATGTTTGCTGTTCAATCCACCGATCCGTGGTCTGTCATCGAGTGTCACCATTAACATGCTGTCACTGTCACGAGGGTGTTTGCTGCCTGTAAGCTGCAGCCAGGTCGCAAGGAGCCAAGCTGTCCGTTGCGTCACGACGATCTCAATTGACCCGACCTCATCGACGAGAAGGTCCCATTCCCTCCCTCTTGAGGGTATTCGGGTCGTGGAGTGCGGCCACCTCATTGCTGGACCTTTTGCAGGGACGATCTTGAGCTACTTTGGAGCGGATGTGATCAAGGTCGAACCTCCTACGGGAGACCAAGTGCGGGACTACCGCGAGTTGGACGCGACCAAGACTTCGTTGTGGTGGTACTCCCTTGGCCGCAACAAGCGGTCGGTGGCAATCGACATGAAGAAAGACAAGGGACGGAAGCTCGTTCAAGAGCTCATTGAGCAGAGCGATGTCTTGATTGAGAACTTTCTTCCGGGTCGCATGGAAAAGTGGGGACTCGGGCCAGAACAATTTGAAACGACAAACCCGAAACTCGTGTACACGCGAGTGTCCGGGTTCGGACAAGATGGACCTTATTCGGGGAGACCAGGATTTGCGTCGGTGTGTGAAGCTATGGGAGGATTTCGGTACGTCAATGGCTTTGCAGACCGTCCACCAGCTCGTCCTAACCTCAGTATCGGAGATACTATTGCTGGCATCCATGCGGCACTTGGAACTGCAATTGCTCTGCTTGGACGGGAGCGAGGGGCTGCTGCTGGGGGAAGCACCAACGGGCAGGTTGTGGATGTGGCTATCTATGAATCAATGTTCAATCTCATGGAAGCAGTGGTGCCTGAGTATGATTATTCAGGACTAATTCGCGAGTGCTCAGGGTCTACAATCACAGGTATTGTACCTTCGAACACATACGTGACCAAAGACAAAAAGAACGTCGTTCTTGCTGCGAATACCGACTCGCTCTTTGTTAAGCTCATGAATGCCATCGGCCGAGAGGACATGGCAGTAGACCGTAAGTACCGGACGAATGCCGACCGCGTCGTGCACCAAGAAGCGATCGATGCCGCGGTAGTGACGTGGGCAGCCACCCAGGATCTGGATACTGTGGTTGCAGTGATGGAGAAAGCCACGGTGCCGGTAGGTCTTGTATATTCTGTTGAAGACATGCTCAAGGACCCACACTACCAGCACCGTGGGATGTTTGAGGAGGTGGAAATTCCGGATGGAGATAACACGCAAACGCTCAAAGTGCCTGCGATCATGCCCAAGTTGACGGCGACGCCAGGTGCAACGCGATTTGCCGGGCGCAAACTGGGGCAAGATACACGTCAAGTGCTGAACGATGTTCTCGGGCGATCGAATGAGAACATCGAGGAGCTCCTGGGGGAGAAGGTGATTTTTGAGCCGAAGTAGGTTGGAAGCAGTCGTTGCTGCAAGAATAGCGATACCTAAAGGTTGTGCTTGGGAAATGAATGACTACATTGATAAAATCGCCGGCAATTTTGGATGCAAGAACGGCCAGGAGTTTTTTTTGTCTTGGACTGCACGCTGTGAGACCGCATGCATGCCGATGTACAAGATACTGTTTCTGCTCGTCATGAGCGAGCTTCTCCATTCCAGCCATCGCAGTGCCAGCTTCGTTTATTCTGCCGACCTTGATCACACAGTAGACCCAAGATTTGACTGCATATTTAGATGTTGTCGTTATACGGATCTGAAACTTCTTCTCTTCTGATAAGACTCATTTTTTGAGACATCTTCTCGTACGATGAATGATGGTGTTACATTGGAAGGGTGACCCGACAAAAAGTCCTTATGGCCGCAAGGTAGAAGCTGCAGTGTATCGAACTAAAAGTGTAGATGTGATAACTGATGCCCCATTTCAAAGTATGCTTGTTAGCTTGCCATTCGCTAGTTTAAAGTGGCATTTGCAGAATCGGTGTGCTGGTATAAAGTTAGCTGACATCTGCCCTGTAACTACGTCAAGACCTGACATGTATTGATCCTGCGATGAGGTTTGGTGGACGAAGATGATTATAGTCTGGCAGGCCATTGCTGTGATTGTGCGAGCTTGTGGTGGTCGACAACATCTGCAAGATCAACCAATTTTTGCCATGCGTTGCCTAGATCTCGTCCACCACCATTGTCAAATACTTTAATCACGCATATATCTGTGCGCTTAGCCTCCTGTCTTGTCATCAGTTATAGATGTTAGAGCGTTCCAAAATGGTTTGAAGGAGGTGCAATCTGGAGCAAAGAGGAAATCCTAAAATCTACGTGCTCGAAATACCATGCAATTCAGGGCTACTTCACTGCATCTAAGATGTGGGAGTGCACAACAGGACGTGGACGAGTGCGTGATTCTAAAAGCGATCAAGGAAACAAGGAGGACGAAAGCATCGTTCGCCAATTGATAATTTGGTGTCCGTCGCACAAAAGTCTGCAAAAATTGAAGAGCCTACCTAGGTTCTACGGGTTTCCCAGTCCCTGCTTGACGTATCTCAGAAAGTCATCGGGCTACGCACAGAGTTCTCCTCAACCTCTAATTTATATTGTAAGATACACAACACCTAATTTTTGACGTGGGTTTGTGCTGACAATGTCAATAGCAATAATAGTATTGCGGGTCTCGTTCTGCTGCATCATGTCGGTTTTTAGGATGGAATTCTCCATCCGTCTAGTCATGATGCCCACTCTGTCATTAAAGTTTACCTTGTAACCTAGAGGCCACAGACTGGGCGTAGTGGGCGCCCATTTAGCAGGACATCGAAGATTATTGCATAATGAAAGACAACTTACCAGTGAGAGCGCTGCACTTAAAACGAGATATCGTCGCATGGGTTTTGGCAACGAAATCTTCTTGGGTCCTCAGACGTGTTATTCATGACCAGTTGTTGCGAGTCATTTAACCTTGAGCTACAGCATACAGATAGCAAGTATGTGCCTTCCTAGTGACGAAGGATGTAGGTCGTGTTGGTCCGGACTGCATTCCGATCCATGAGGCATGCCTTCTCGCGACATAGCATCACAAAAGTCGCTATTTTTACACAAGTTTTGAGAACAGGACAAGCATTACGAAACTGCAACAACTTCGTGACTCACATAATGTGATGAGGTCCGAATGTGCAAGCACGATAGCCCAGGGCCATTATCGCTTTGCACTTTGGATACAATAATCGGAAGTCTGGATTCGATTAGAGTCTTTGAGCTGAACTAAATACCACACCAACGCACGATGTGTTTCTTGCTACGTCGCTCTCGATAACCCTTGTGTTTTTCTGGTCTTTGCCGATTCGTGATATTTCGTGACTTGACTAGGCTCACCTGCCGGTTCATAGAGGCAAGCTTCGTTTTCCTCTGTGAACTAGACCAAAATGTTGAGATCTTAACCAGAGAAGATTGCAACGGCAAGATTTCTTACGGTTTCTCACATATGATGCGCCTCTGGGAGACAGGTTCGTCAATGCTCGACGAAGGTGGCTTATAGTCGTGAGTTTGAAATAGGTCGTCCGTATTCCTTGATCGAGATAGAAACCTCGAGCAAATTTGACCAAGGTACCACTTGCTACTTCGCGTTTTAAACCGGACGACCTACCCACAAGAGAATCGAGCCCAGGGATGGATTCAATGCCGCTGGCGGTGTTGATGCTTGCGTTCAATTTCATAGAACGACCATCAAGAGATGCTTGGTGTTTCACACTATAAAATACAGACGTGAACACGCAATTAAGATACACTGTCGCCACACTCCGTCATCGACTAGTAACGAGTAAGCGACCAACTCTTGCGCCTTCATCGTACTACTGCTGTTCAAAGCGGGTTCCACGACGTCAGTCAACCATAGAGAGTAGGCCTATTGATGCAGAAGCTGGTGACTCGTTAGACATTACGGGTCATGCAACTTCATTTACAACGGTATCTATCCCACAAAACTGAAGATGGAATCGATACAACAAAACGCTTGACAGCTTTCTGAAAGGCAGAAGACCACGGTATAGTGGAGGCACATCTTGCGCCTACATTGACCCTGCAAAGACGTTTGACTCGTCATAGATAGGTCGTTTCGGAAGTCCGATGCTCGATTCTGCATGATTCAAGCTGATCATGTTGCATCCATTCAAGTTTCACGTCAAGGGCAAAGCTCAAGTATATCAGCCTGTCCTCCCTCACGATACTTGAACTAGCTCCTTTGATACGCGTATGTACCAGCGCTTTGTAATCGAGTCAAATTCACTACGGTGCTTCGCATACGATAGAATTCCACATGCAGTGTATCGGTTGCAGAAACTGACCTTTGCGTGCGAGTAATCAAGACAAGACTACAAGGAGGGCATGTGTCTACCCTCTCGGGTGCAAGAGCAAAAGGTTTGAGATAAGACGATCTGCATCCTTTGATGCACAACTTCATAAAGAACGATTGTCTGGAGCAGCCCGGATGAGGCGTTCTACTAAAATGTCTGCCATCATGAACGTTTTTACCAACGATGGCGTCAGAAAATTGTAGTTACATACAGGGTAGTCCTAACGTGTGTCAGCGAGCGCAAGTCGATGTGCTGCTTCAGTTTCTAGCTCCGACGCGATCATTTGTATTGACTTTCGCAACCGCAGATCATCAGATCATCATGACATATCGGCGTCATATCTAACTCAAGCTACATCGTCGGCCGAAACCGAAGTATACGTATACCAGATGACATCCTACAAAAAGCTACTTTTCTGCGTTATGTCGTGTGCACCACATGATCCCCATTGACCCATGTTGCGTGGCATGAAGTCGTCCTGGGCTCGAGGCCTCTCGACACTCTCGTTTAAGGCGCCACCACCAGCCCCAAATCGACGTGTGGTCGTGACTGGACTAGGTGCTGTCACTCCTTTTGGCGTGGGCGTAAACCGCTCCTGGGAGGCGCTATTGGATGCAAAGTGCGCGATTCGAGTACGATACTTCGCGTTTGACCTGCTAAAAGATCATTTGGGTTGTTTAAGACTAATTATTTTGGTACTTGATTGGTAGAAAGTGGATAAGCTTGTCGATACTGGACTGCAGTGTACCATTGGTGGGTCCGTGCCACGAGGAGAAGGAGATGGGGCCTTTCGCACCAAAGATTGGGTCAATCTCAAGAACATTCGGTCTCAAGAGCCCGACTTTATTGCGTTCGCACTGGCAGCAGGTTATTTTCTTGGCTATTCACACTATTGCAAGCTCATTTGTTGCTGATTAAGATGTGGGTGCTAATGTTGATGCAGCTGATGAAGCGTTGAAGGACTCAGGATGGACCCCTCAGTCGGACGAAGAGAGAGAGAGAGCTGTAAGATGGCATCATGATTGGTGAGATCAAGGTACATGTTGAGGTGATGTATGTCGTTTCTTCGTGTTGTAGGGCGTCGCAATCGGTGCTGGTATGGGTGACATCCAGGAGGTCATGGATGTTGGACAGCTTATTAAGGACAAGGTACTGATGATAGCCGATACTTTTGAAGTATGGTGACGTGTATCTGGTATAGCCTCATTCCAGAGTGTGTTCATCTTGCAGAAATATCGCCGTGTATCTCCCTTTTTCGTAACAAGAATTCTCATAAACCTTGCGGCAGGCCACGTGAGCATTGAGCACGGGTTGAAGGTGCGGTTTGTCGGCTGAATGTATCGTGACTCGCATAGGAAGGTAGACTTACAGTGCTTTTATCATTACGCAGGGACCGAATCATTCTTGCGTCACGGCTTGTGCCACGGGTAGTCACAGCATCGGTGATGCCGCGAATTTGATTCGATACGGCAACGCTGACGTGATGGTTGCTGGAGGTACTGAAGCGTGTCTCAATGAGATCTCGGTTTGTGCTTTCTCGCGCGCGCAAGCTCTATCTACAAAGGTAACATCGCGCCCACTTTTGTAAGAGTGATCATAGAAGTTTGGCCTATATTTATACGGTATGTGCTTGCGAGTAGTTTAACGATCGCCCACAAGAAGCGTCGAGACCATTCGACTCGGAACGTGATGGATTCGTCATGGGTGAAGGCGCTGGTGTTGTTGTGCTTGAGGTATGCGATCGTATTCGTTTGCTATCAGCTCAACACCGATTTCGACTTAGTTCCATGATCTCTACTTGTGTTTGTTTTGCTTTTTTGCGTACTTTTAAGGAGTATGAGCACGCCAAAAAAAGAGGTGCTAAGATCTATGCTGAGGTGCGGGGGTACGGTCTCAGTGGTGATAGCAACCACATGACGGCTCCTCCGGAATCTGGTGATGGTGCTCGAAGAGCTATGCAATCAGCGATTGCACAATCTGGGCTCGCGGTGTCTGATATTGGCTACATAAACGCGCACGCGACTTCAACACCTTTGGGAGACCGTGCTGAGAATGCAGCTGTGAAGGAGCTATTCGGCGAATATGCGAATCAGCTCGGAATCTCGTCTACGAAGGTCCGTGGCTTATGGTTTCTTTGAGCAGAAGTGTCACGCTTTCGTTTGTTCTTAAACTTCATCCGTTCTTTCCTAGGGAGCTGTCGGTCACTTGCTAGGCGCTGCTGGTGCCGTGGAGGCCATCATTTCGATCAAGGCGCTATGTGAAGTGAGTACTGATAATGCATGTACAGTAGCAGCTGCGGCTGAATATGGTTTTATTTCGACTGACAACTTTTGTATCAATAGAACGTGATGCCCCCCACGCTCAACTTAACGGAGACAACGGAGGAGTTTACGCTGAACTACGTGCCTAACCAGCCACAGGAGAAAGTGTTGCGGGCAGTGCTTTCGAACTCGTTCGGCTTTGGCGGAACGAACGCAAGCCTTTTGTTTGCAAAGTAGGGACCGTGTAACTTGTGAACGAACGCGTCATTTTGACGACAGGATAGCAGTAGTAACACGACCGAATGCCATCTATGTAACATCAGTGTAAGCTTCCGTGGCGCAGAATAGCAGAGCCTCTACATGACTCTCGAGTCTACATCGCCGAAGCTGCGTATATGTTACACACTTGTAAAGCTGCTGCAGAGTCGCTGGGGTGAATGTGACAAAACGTCAGGAGCTTAGGCACAAGCATGTTCCTGCAGCAGCTACTTTGTATCGCTCAGCATCCAGTACGACGATGCTAGGCCCAGACTGATCTGACGAAGCGTAATTACATGGATTGCCTGTCAGCTTATGTAATCATGGCTCTATCCTCCTCTAAGAGACTGTCGCTCCAAAATTTGTTTGTTGGAATCAGACATTTGCAGCCGTCCACAGCTAATTAATACAGCTCCTTTGCCAGTACAACTTGCACATGAGATCGATGCGGCATTTTCCACGGGAGAAACCCTCGAATGACAAACGTATCGCTTGTTCGCACCGGCTGGTCAGACATATCTTGTACGCTCATGCTGTATCGCTTGTCGGCAGTGAAGAACGGAATGTCATCCTACAGTTTTATAGGTGAGTACTGCTCTCTATTTTATGCAGCTGAAGCCTCAACCAGACGAAGTTCGAGTGACCAAGGGCACCCGCGGTGGGGTCGTCAAGGTGGAAGTCTTCCGTGTCCATTCTTCAACCTTCGAATAGGTAGTGGACACAGCGTCGAACAACGATTTTAAGTCGAAGCGGCTCACAATAGTACGTGAATATACATCGACTCATTTCCACTGACCCGACCAGGACCATACGTCTCAGCACTGCTGTAGTTGAAGAAAATAAGCTTCAAGCTTTAATACAGCAGTGTAACATTCCTAGATTCTATGCGTCGGAAGCACAAGGCCTCTACGCCCAAGCTGTCCTCCGCGAAAGCCGCGTCAGAATCGGCTGAGCTGGAATTCTGCTCCAGCCCGAACGTGGTCACGCTGCGGCAAAACGTCGATTCCTAGTTTGTGCGGCGCACCCTACTGGGTTAGAACTAGGTTCGTTATGTTTCCAGGAGGTGAAGGCGAGCAAGGGAGAGCCTTTAGAGCTCATGGGAGCTACCGCTAATATTAAGGTCAAGCCAGGCTCGTTGGTTTTGTCGGCGACCGTGAATTGCAATAAAATCCATAGTCTATTTTCATTGTTTCGGGAGCATGAAGCAACTACGCCCTAAACAATTACCCTTCGATGGACTCATCGGTATGCTGAAACCTTGACAGCAACGAACAACGTCTAGTCTAGCCTTGGACTCGATTTATAAGATAGGAAAGCAAGATCTGGAGCTCGCTGATTGGAATAAGTAATCCAGCCCAAAGAGTTGAATCAAGTTGCTGAACACTATACAGCAGGAGTCACTGAAGAATGAGTGCGATGCTCTAGATGTGTGCAATAACCTGTTCAGTGTACTTAAGCAGCGCATTCAGGCTTTGCTTATGAGCGTCCAGCATTTACTTACATGAATATGTTCACCGTTAATGGATGTAAGCCAACCACGTGCGTGCATCACAAAAGTGACCCAACCAAAAGATGACTTCGGGAATACCTATATATAGGGCTCCGACCCGGGCCGGTTTTATTGAGTCGACCCAGTGTTTGACCCGGCTGGTCCGAGCCCCGGGTTAAGGTCTGACCCGGACTAACGTCCCATTGGTTCTTTTATTTTCTCCATATTTTGCCATCGCAACCAACCTAATTAGCAAATTGTTTTGTTTAATTTGGGGTGTCGTATTTAGCCCTGGTTCCAAAAAATAGCAACCGTTTTACTTATTGGGAGGCTTGCTCATATGTATCTACATTCATGATTTCATGGTCTCTCGTTTCAACAATTCCGCATTTAATATTATATGTACGTTAGCCAATCTATAAAAAGTTATTCCATGAAAATGGATGTAGAACCGAGGCAAGCAGAAATCGCATCGTCGGTCGCCTCCGCGACAATGACACCCAGCAAACAGAGGGTGCTGTCAGCACCAATGGCGGCGCAAGAAGAACTGATTTTAAACATCCTTTGTAAGGCTCAAATAACAAGTTAAAACTCCTTGTCAGGTCTCAAAGCTTCGTGTCGAATCAGCAATTCGCGGAGCTACGTATGTTTGTAAGCTACGAGTGGTACAAATTTTTTTGACCAAGCGCTTGATGAGCAAGAATATGAAGCATGATGATCTACCTGAACAAGGTGCAAGGCGTGCGTCTTTATAATGAGAATACCTGAAGGCGTGTGCATCGCATTAGTTAATCTAATCGAGTTTAATATGATGACGTTGCTTAAACTAATTCTAAAGCATTCGTTGTCTTATTAGTTTGTGGAATATTGGCAACTGCGTGATCTTCTCAAGCTTTGCAATCCTGCAACGAGCTCTTTGTAACTGCCTTAAAATGGCAGTTAAACAAAGTCGATCATCTATGCGAACTTGCAATCAAGATCATTGGTAGATGGACATGCATCTATACAGTGCGAACGCACAACGAATCGCGAGATTTAAGTTAGAATAGTACATGATGAGCAGGTTCGTGACAGAAGAAAATTGCATGTTACAGATGTACACGTTTGGCAGTCAACAACATATATACAATGTCACACGATTTTGGTGCATACTTAAACATACACATTGGCCCATTCGACGGTTTTTGAGAAGGACTTTGGTACATAAAAGTTTGACAACCTCACTTTATTCATAACATGTGTTCACATTTGTGTTTGGGGGGATCTGTTGCTTTTTCTAGATTACGTGGTAAGCACAAGTATATTGGACCGACGCGACCAAACGGGTCGTCCCAGACCAATTACCCTGGGTCGGAGCCCTACCTATGTATCTATGATGTAGGATAGGCTAGATGACACTTAGTACGTGTAACGTACACCTAACCGCGTCATTTACAGCCAAAACAGACAAACAAGCACAATTTGAAAGCCTGACATTCAACCTTGCGCACAGTCACAAACACTTCTACCCTTCGGGATAGCAACTATTCTCGGTATGTCATGGATCGATTGCAGCGAGCCATGGATTGGTTAGAGACTGTAGACACAATGCGTTATTTTCTAAGCGGTAAATTAAATATATATCGCAAGCCCGATGGGTGAAGATATTAGCGACTGAACGCTAGATGAATGACAAGCAATTAGATTTTACTTATCTGTGTGTGTGTCTGACTTGGATGTAAAAAACGCGATTATGTGTAACTTACACGTACGAAGCGCAATTCAGCCTTTCCCCTCTTCGTTGGTATATAGGGGTGTTCGAAGTCAATTTTGGCTAGGTTGATATACTTTGATAACATAATAGTCGTGTAGAGTAATGCTCGTCGTCGTCGATAGATGGTGAAACTATACAAATTCCGGCGAGTGGCACCCGTAGTGAGAGCGACCCATTGAATGCTGTAAGGTTATTTGCTCAGCGGCAAGTCATTTAGAGTGTGGTTATGTATATGAGCTTATAGCAGTATGTATAAATTCACGAATTGAGGGAGGCTGTGATAGCACCTGGGTGGATGATTTTAGTGAGGTATAGAAGTGTAAATTTGTCAATACTCCGTCCTTGAAAACGGTACTGTTTTAACACCTTCAAGAAGTACGAGCTCTGCAGTGGGACGGCAGCATCACCGAATGACTGCTGCAAGAATCAGGCATATGTTTGTCACGCACTAATCGTATTTAACAGCTATATACCCTAAATTACGGGACAAGGGGCGATGAGATCGTGACGTCGCCCTTCCGCTACTTTAATACTTAAACACTCTATAAAAGTTAGATAAAACCCCATATCAAATTTTTAAAGAGCCTTGCTAGACGTTTATTATTGAAGACGTTATTCTTTGTTCTCACACTCTCCTTTCACTAGATTCTTGCTCTTTATTTTTTAGGATTTTCACATCATAAGCGATGATGAAATGGTAGGTGTCCGTCACGAAATTAAGTTAGTTTCAGGAGCAAAAACACTGCGTTATATGACAGTGGCAGTTGCTAAGGAAACAAGAGATGTCATCGATGTGTTTTTTTCGCTCGAAGCACGAGGCAGGTATAGTGCGTAAGAGTACACTTGCACTATAAATAAAGCTTCTTTGTTAATTTTAAAATGAGGTAAGTGGCGCATTGGTCGTCATAAAGCAAGTGCTACCACAAACCAGCACAATTATCGAGTTTTGAAACAATGCTTTTCCGGACAACACGGGTAATTTCACATGCACAGTGTTCCAGACTCTTCCATGGTTGCTACCAATTGATATTGCGATCACTATACAGTTTAAAATAGAAAATAAACCGAGCGGCATGCTTTGGAAGCGTTTTGTCATGCTCCAGGTCTGTTCTATTATTCAGCGACGTTTATTCTATTAGTGACACAATCGATCCGCCATGGGGCTTATGCTCAATTTGTTTTTTTGGATATTATCCAAAGTCGGGCAAATCATGGAAAGTAATACCCAGAGAACATATTAAGACTTAAGCAACGGTGATCGAGTGCAAATGCACAAACAATCTGCACGCTTACGTATTGAAGAGCTTCTTCGGTGCGGGAGTTTCGTTCATGTCGCTTTAATGGAACAGAGTCTTCGAGCAGATTTCGCATACTTTAAAATCTTACGTGGAGTGAATGACCCCTCAAAATAAATCGGTGGTATGTACAAAATGGCTTGGCTTTGCCAGTCATTTGCAAACGTATATCATGGACTACGCTGATATGGATAGTTCATTATCCGATTGCCTGTATAAGCTGTAGAATAGTAGTAGGACACCGACCTTAATGACGCTTTCAAACAGCGAAGAATTGCCTTATCTACGCCCCAATACTTGCTCTCTGCAATCCTGGTTGGCCTTTCCTTGTAGTCTGTGACGCAAACTTCTTTGCCATAGGAAGTGCACCGATACAAGCAGATGATAAGGGGCTAAATTGTGAAATCGCATTTACTGCTGGTAACTTAAATATAATGCAAAG